GTTTCTCCCTGCAGACCTTTTCTCTGCACTATACCCACTTTGGCATGCATGAGGAGTTTCTGCTCATGTATCATGAATAGTATAATCTGTCCATGTTTGTTTTCAACTCAGTGTTGTTCACCATCCACCTACATTATTGAGTGAAGCGCATGTCAGTGTGTGGCTGCCATGTTCCTCGGCACAAACAGACAGCCCTGTGTCGCCTGTCTCTCGCTGGCAGTTCTGGGTAAGAGTCTGCAGCTCCATTCTGCTGTGGGCAGTGTGTGCATTTCCCCTAACACCCATATTTTGAGATTTAGCTCCCAGGAAGATGATATTAGGAGGTGAAGCTTCTGAAAGGTGATTAGGCCATGATGATGGTGTTCTCATGCATGTTGCTAATCCCCGGGTAGAGACCCCAGAGCACTTCTATGCCCACCCGCTGCCATATGAGGACATAGGAAAAGGGTCACCATGTACGTACTAGGAAGCTGGCCCTCATCAGGCACCCGCTGCTTGTGCCTTCCTAACTTGGACTTCCTAGTTACCGGAAGCGTGAACAATAATACATTTCTATGGTTTAGAAGCTACTCAATCTACGATAGTCTATTACAGCAAAATGGACTAAAGCACCTTCCTCGGGGTCAGATGGCTTCTCCTCCAACATTGTGGGCTGCCTCAAAGCCCCAGTTAGCTCCTCACTCTGCACATAGCCCAGCCATCTGCCCCTCTGCCTTGCCTCGGCTCTCTAGACCCCTGATCCCACGGCTCTGTCTCCAGTGTGACTTTTATCTGGCTACCTTGACCAAGCAGCCGGGCCTGCAGTCAGGCCTCTGTGTTTTGCAAGGACAGCAGCCAGTTTATGTTTATTGACTCAAGGACACCACTGCTGGACGTGCTTGTATCTTTCCAGAAGACACTGTTAAGGGCAGTCATAGGCATGTATGTGCACTGCCCCTGATTCTTGGTTACCACAGTCCTGAAAGCACAGGGCTAGCTGAACTCAAAAGAAAAAAGGGACACTACAGGAAGGCTAGCACTTGCCTTCACATCCTGCTCTGCCTCTCCCTGGCTCTGTGCCCTCTAGTGAGCCAGGATCATGGCTGAGTCTTGATTTCCTCCCCAATAAGTTGGAGATAATGACACCACAAATTAGGGTTAAATAAAGTGTCATGTTCCAAATGTTACTGGCTGCTATTTCTGCAATAGTCATGGCAGGTTTCTTTTTCTCTTACCATGTTGTGGAAAGATTAGATACTGCCATGCATTACTTAACGAAGAGGATAGATTCTAAGAAATACAGTGTGTTATTGTGGTATGAACATCACAGCATTCTTACACAAACCTAGACAGCACGGTCTATTACAGCACGAGGGTATGTAGTATAGACAGACAGACAGACAGAGGTGTGGCATAGCCTATTTCTCCCAGAGCCACAATCAACTACACACACAACACAAGAGGAAAAGATGCAGTCATGAGGCGCTATGAACACAATATAGAGGCTGTATAATGGCTTAACCCAGCCTGCTGTTTCAGAAGTATACCTAAAACCACAATAGAAAGTGTAATGTAGTAAATACATACACCTGTAACAGAGTCACTATTATTTATATTATTATTATTAACTGCGTAGTTCCATGTTCTATCCTTAATTTTTTTTTTACATTTATTTACTTGGTGAGACAGGCTTTTTTTGTGTGGCCCTGGCTATCCTGGAAGTTGCTCTGTAGATCAGGCTGGCCTTGAACTTGTAGATCTGCCTGCCTCTACCTCCCAAGTGCTGGAATTAAAGGCATGCACCAACACTGCCCAGCAACCTCAGAGCTTTATGCCAAAAATTTTGAACCTAAATCCAATGCATTTGCTTTAGAATTGACTTACAGTTTTGAGGATAAAGAGAAGATAGTGAATCCAGCTAAAGGATGCCCACTGGTAGGCCAGACACACTGGGAAGGGGTAATGCTATCTAAGAACATTGGCTCGTGGGGCTGGAGAGATGGTTCAATGGTTAAGAGCACTGTCTGCTCTTCCAGAGGACCTGGGTTCAATTCCCAGCACCCACGTGGCAGCTCACAACTGTCTATAACTCTAGTTCCAGGGGATCCGACACCCTCACACAGATACACCTGCAGGCAAAACATTAATGCACATTAAAAAAAAAAGAAAAGAAAAAGAACACAGGCTCAGTGAATGTGGCAAGTCCATGGCAGGAGAGGGAGAAGAACTGAAAGAGGCTTAAAAAGCAGAGCATCTAATATGATGTGCAGCCTTTGCTTCTAATTCTGTGTGAACGAGATACATAGAAAGAGCTCTTATTTTAGGCACAATTGGGCAAAAACTTCTTGATTGTTTACTGTTGCCATGGCAGCGTTATAGGGGAAATGTCCATATGAAGCATGGAGGGCTGAAATAGCATCTGGTTTTTGGAAAGAGCCATGAAGGCAGGCCAAAACTTTAGTTATTTGGTGTGTCTCTTTACCAGTGGCTTTTCTATTAGTCTGAAGTATAAGAATATTTTGCAAACAGTTCTTGTTTCTAACAATGAAGGATACAGTTACTTGCAAAAATTTTCAGTTTAGTGATAAGAATCAATGCCAACAATGTTGTCGTGAAACCACTGTGTTCCACTATTGATAATGAAATCATGTAAGCATGCAGGAAAATAATTTGGCAATAAGCAGTCCAAACCAGAAAAATATTCATATTTTCTAGTTCAAGAACTGGACTTCTGGGAATGTACTCTGACTTATTTTGAAAGACGGGGTGCGGGCTGGAAATCCTCTCTCTGCATGGGAGTGGCTCTGGGAGCTACGTGTTTTGGCTTGATGGAGTTAGACAGCAGAGTTCTAAGGGCTGTGTTGCAACTTGGAAGCCTGGGCCACAAGCTGGGAAGTGCGTGTGCTGTGATTACAGCCAAGCAGAGGCATGTGTGCCTGGGGCCCTCGCCAGTGGAAAGCCCGGAGGGGTGAGAGCTGCTGAGTCTGGGGAGAGAGCAGGGCTGGCCTGTGGGATGCAGGAGATGGGGGACGGAGGCTTGAGGCCACCTTTGAACCCTTAGGAAAAGTTAAAGGTGGAGCCATACCCTCAGGGCTCTGAGCAGGTGGCATTCCGTGGAAATGTCTGCAATGGCCCTTGAATATCACCTGGTGAGACGCAGGTGGTGAACTTGGGCTTTGGGAGGTCCTGGAAGATTTTATCCTAACCTTCTTTGTGATGCCCGGTGCTCACACAGACAAGCTCTTCCTGACAGGCCTGAGTTGTCAGGGCCTTTCTCAGGAGGCTGGGATGAGGTTGTGAGGGTGAGTAGGGAGAGGAAAGGGAAAGGATGCGCTGTGGAACGGAGAGAGAAAAGCTTTATTGGTTTCCCGTCTTCACACGCATTAGCCTATGTCTCAAAACCTTTGAGGTGAAGCACAGTATACAATCTTTCTTTCCTGTTTCTTCACAGTTTTTTTTGGTAGTTATCCTTATCCTCTCCCTTATATTTTTGAGATGAGAACTTACCATGTAGCCCAGACTAACCTTGAACTCAAAGTGATTCCCCTGTTTCAACCTCCATTATGGCTTGGTTTTACCCTCACAACTTTTTTGTTTGTTTTTCAAGACAGGGTTTCTCTGTGTAACTGCCCTAGCTGTCCTGGAACTCGTTCTGTAGACCAGGCTGGCCTGGAACTCACAGAGATCCACCTGCCTCTGCCTCCTGAGTGCTGGGATTAAAGGCGTGCGCCACCACCACCCGGTTTACCCTCACAACTTTAACAATGCCCTCTCATGAACTGTCTGAAGGGATTCTGACCCTGTCACACATTGCCTGGCCTTCAGACTTTTCTTTGAAATGTAAATAGAAGCCTACAGGATCCTGGAATTCTTGCCTTTTGCGTGCCTGCAAAGCCAGCATCGTGTGGATAATGCCAAGGTCTTCTACCACCTTGAACTGACTAGTAGTGTTCGGTCCCTTTGGACTATGACTGCAGAGTGGCTTCTGCGTGTCTGGGTGGCTTTGTGGGCTAATGCTGAGGATAGGGGATTGAATCCTAGGGAATCTATATGTGTCTAGGGTTGGTGAAATGAGTTCTAGGAAATTCATAGCTGGCCCCATGCAAACCCGAGTCCCATTCTTCTCAAGAGAAAGTATTTCAGATGAGTCTCATACCCTGCAGGTCACAATGGATGGGATCTGACTTATCCCTGAGATGCCTGCAAGGCATTTTTTTCTACTGTCCTGATGCAAAATAACTTGGCTTCTTTCTAACGATGTCAATCTCTTCAGAAACGATCTCTCCCCCCTTTTCCCTCCAACTACTTTACACTGGCCTCTCCTGATCAAACTGCAAGTTTCTCAAGTCTTCCTGCTCTATTTCACTCATAATCCTCAGTGAAAACTTGGCTAAACGTATCTAGCAACAGCAAAGCTACAACCTGGATTCTGAGCTGCTTTGACACATCCTGAATCAGATTAGTGATTTTGTTACCTTTTAACGTCTGATGTCTACAGATTCTTAGAATGAATAGAATGTAGACAGGTTCTTTATCAGAACAGAGCTTGAATGCTTTTATTTCAGCTATCCCCCTCCCTCCCAGTCTTGGCTCCTATATGAAACATACAGACCACAGTTTTTACTGGATTCCTATTGGCATTGTGGTCTTTTGGGCTCCCTCTGAAGTTGCTCACTAAACTGAATTTACAGCATTCTAGGGCTTTTATAGCCTGAATCTCCAAACTCTTCAAAAGCCCTCCCACAAAGCAGCTCCACAGACGTGAAGTATCACATGGCCAGGTTTAGTCATAACGGTGACTCTACTTTGCTTTAACGAAAACACCTAGCAGAAATAACTTACGTCAGAAAGAGGTGGGATTTATTCCAGCTCTCAGTTTAAGAAGTTTAGTCCAAGCTGGGCAGTGGTGGCCCACGCCTTTAATCCCAGCACTCAGGAGGCAGAGGCAGGTGGATATCTGTGAGTCTGGGGCCAGCCTGGGCTACAGGATGAGTTCCAGGAAAAGTTCCAAAGCTACACAGAAAAACTCTGTCTAAAAAAACCAAAAAAAGTTCAGTCCAGTGTCTTAGGCACCATTGACTCTGGTGTCTGGTGAGGCAGAATGTCACAGTAGCAAGGGTATGTGATAAAGGGTATATACATATAATATAAATTACAAAAAAGAAGTGGGAGGTAGGGGAGAGAGGTGTGAGGACCATGGATCAACTCAGATCATCAGGCTCGTGCTGTAGACACCTTAATCAGCTGGACCATCTCACCGGCCTATGTCTAGAAATTGTTGGTGCTCACACTAACATGGTGATAGATTGTATGGTTTTATTTCAAGAGTGTTGTATTTGTTTATCTTAATGGCATCTCATCGAATGATTGGCATTCAGGAAGATGCTTTGCCTTGAAGCGTTTATCTCTTATAGCAGATAGAGACTCCAATCCCCATTTCCTCTACCAACAAGACCAACATTTTCTATCGCAGCATCTGTTTGTTGTTGGAAAGTTCTGGTCTGAACCAGCTGGGAATGAACGTAGAACTTACAGCACATGTTTTCCTTGTCTTGAAAGAATCTCTGTGGTAGTCACATATTTTCTACTGTGTTGTTGTTGCCTAAGATAGGAAGGTGAAATCCAATATATACTTCTCTGTCGTGGGTGGATCTTTAAAATCCTGCTTCTCTACGTCTCTTCATTAAATGTGAAGGGACAGTTAAGAATCATCATGAATTGGAGGAAAGCTTTTTATGTTAAGTCCAGAGACTAAAACTAAGAAGCAAACAAGCATATAAACTTAAAACCTGAAGGAGGCAAAAGGCTTGCATAGAAAAAAACACAATAAAACAAAGAAGTCGATTATTCATATCCTTAGGGAGATAGAACATCTGTGGTCCAAGAACAAAATTTTTATTTTAAAAGAGTAAAAAAATTTTTTTCAGAGAAAAATTGCTTTTAGAAAATAAAAATAAAACCCCAGAAAGATGAAGCTCAATAAAGAGATGGAAAATATGAGGGGAAAAAAATAACCTAAAAATGTGTAACTCAGCGCCAGAGAGATGGTGTTTAAAGAATTGAGGTATTTAACGAATAGAGAAAACAGGAGACAAAGCTAAAAAGATAATGCGTTTTCCAGTGTGCAAAGCACCCCCTTAACAACAAGGGCTTTGTACAAGGGATAAAGACACAGTGATAACCATAGCATAACACTGTAAAACACAGTACAGCAACGAAAAGGCAGATTTGTATAAGGTCCTGGTTAGGAAGAAGGGGAAAGTTCTTTAAAAAACATCGTCAGTGAGAATTGAGGGAGAAAAACCAGTTCCACAGTTTTGAGCCAAATTTGAAGCAAGCTTTAATTAAATACAGGCCAGGATGACGGGCTCTGGCCAGGACCATTCCTGGGTTCCCAGGAAATGGCGACCAGTCCCATTTTGCTGAGGCTTAAAAAGGCAAAACCGTAGGCTACCTCCTGTCTACATCCAAACAGGGGCAAGAATCATCCTGATGTATTTCCAGCCCGTGTGCCTCCTGCCTACTGATCAGGTACATCCTGGGCAGTGGAGTCAAACAGATATAGGACAGACAGAAACTTAATCTTAACTGTCTGTACTGCAAACAGAACCCTTAACCTGCAAGGTATATTTTTCCTGTTTTGGTCTCCTATTAACTTGCAAGCTGTATTGTTCTTGTTCCTGTTTTTGTCTCACAATCATTCAGCAGCACCTCAGAATGATGGGGTGAAAACACTCGCAGCTTACATGCCAACATTCAACAGAAGCAGCAATTGTGTCAGAGTCTGGATTACACATTTTCAAAATGCCTATTTTCCAAGTAATTACCTCACATGCATCTAGTTTCTAAAGACTAACTTGTATTGTGCTCATAGTATAAGGAAGAGAATTATGAAAAAGGCTCCATGGGATCCAGGACTATTGTGCCTGGATGAAAGCTAGGTCTAGGGCACCAGGACAATTCTGCAGCGGTTGCTCTCTGAGCAGTTGCCCTTTGTAGAATTGTTTCCTCTTTTTACCACACCCAAATGATTAAGACGTCAACTGTTAAATACTCTTTCTTTATAACTGTAGTCCTCTGGATAACATCAGACCATCCAATGTGCTTTTCCTTCTTTAATCCCGTGAGTCAGCTAACACAGAGTATGTTAATTGCTATGACGTTTAACCTGCAGAAGAGTAGTAATGTGATTGTAACTAGCCTCAGAAGGTCAAGGTCAATTTTGAGGGTGGAAAAAAAAATGGAGACGCATTCTACTTTGAGCCAAATCCCCAACCCCGAGATGCATTCTAGATCAATGGTTCTCAGCCTTCCTAATGCTGTGACCCTTTAATACAGTTCTTCATGTTGTGGTGACCCCAACCATAAAATTATTTCATTGCTACTTCATAACTGTAATTTTGCTATTGTTATGAATAATAGTGTAAAATATCTGACATGTGACCCCTGTGAAAAGGTTGTTTATTGCCAAAGGGTCTCGACCTACAAGTTGTCTAGATGATGAAGCTCCTGGAAAGCATATAGCCTATAACTTTCTTGGTAGTTAACCCATACATCCTTACCTTCCTTCCCCATAGAAGCCTGTTTATGTACTTTTGAGTCCTCCAAGATATGGCTTTGAGGTTGATAGTCCTGTGCCTTTCAATGATGATTTTATTATTGAAATTGAATACACCTGATTTCTTTCCCATCAACTCCCAAGTTTTGGCCTTGAAAGAAGATCTATTTATTATTTTACAGATATGAGTGTTTGTTGGCATGTAACTAGGTACACCACATGCATGCAGTTCTTGAGGAGGCCAGAAGGCGGGCGGCATTGGGTCTCCTGGAACTGGAGTTACAGACGGTTGTGGGTCACCACGTGGGTGCTAGGAACAGAGCCCTGGTCATCTGGAAGAGTAGCCAGTGCTCTTAACCACTATTGCCGAGCCATCTCTCCAGCCCCCCAAATACTGGCTTTTGAGTGATGAACATCTGGTTCTGGGGCAAGTAACAAGACTGAAGCAGGTCTTAAGCCCCAGGAGAAAGATGAGTGAGTTTCAGCTACAAATACATTTAAATGTGTTTTCACAGAATCCAAAGCATCTAAGTAGGGAAAAGTTTGAGGATAAAATGAGTGATAAATGCATGGGGAAATGGATGCCAGTTGTAACCTCCAGTGCTAACAAAAAGCTGTTCTAGGGAAGAAAAGTAATTACGCAGCACATGGTACAGCTGTGAATGTAATTTACATAGCCACAATGGCATTCCTCCCCAAGAGCAACCCCATCCAAATGACAATAAAACTAGTGATGAGGGTGGATGTGAGGGTTAGGGACAGAGAGAAAAGAGATACAATTTCACGCATATTGTGGGAACAAAAGAAATAAGGCTCAAAAGGAAGCCTGCAATAAGTAAGGACATAAGCATGGAATTTGGAAATACCAAAGTTAATGCCAAAGGATCGACTAGAAAAATCTAATAAATGAAGAGACTGCAGTTCTTGGTAAGATTTGTGCAGGATTTTGTCTTTCTGTTGAGTGTTTGCATAGTTCAATGCTCGACCTGAAATTTAAGACCAGTTATACTGGGATGGGCACTTCTGTGCTGAGAGGGTTTTTCCGGAGTCTGACCACTCTATTATGGTATGTACTTGACCACTCAGCTACCTTCCCAGGGGCTAAGATGGAGAACGGTAGTTTCCTGCTGAATGACTACACTTCCCAGATTCCCTTTCGGACTACAGAAGTCATTTCCACCCCTATAAAGGACAGCATCTCATCTTATGTAGTTTTTTTTTTTTTTTCTTGGCCATCCACACATGTGGATGGCAATAGTGCCCCCATGCCATGAATAACCATGGTCCTGCCTAAGGTCAGGCCAACCCTCTCTCCCGTTCCACCTTTCATCTCTATTTGTATGTGGCTTTAATAATTTAGCATATGGTGCCAAAACCTGGGATGAGGAAACTAGCGGCTGAAGCTCAGCCATGGACAAACTTCCCTGGCTCTCATTGGCTTCCCAGCTCCAGCAGAGAGGGCCCAGCAGGGCCACCTGTTTCTCTCAAGCAGCTTTTTTTGTTGTTTTGTTTGTTTGGGGGGCGGGAGTTGGAGTTGAGACAGGGTTTCTCTGTGTAGCCCTGGCTGTCCTGAAACTTGCTCTTAGACCAGACTGGCCTCGAACTCACAGAGTTCAATGTGTGCCACTCCCTCCCCCCGCCCCATTCTTTCAGGAAGTCTTTTCTTTCACTCTCTTTCTCCACCTTCTCTCGCTCACCTTACTGTCTTGCCCTGACACAGTCTGACCTTCTGAGCAGAGGTCATGCAGCATTCAGCCAGAACATGCCATGCCACACAGCAGAGCACTAGGAACAGGTCATGCGTTGGCCTTAACTCAGAGGTGCCCTAGTTAGGTCTGGGAGTTCACTGGAGCTTTCTCCTGTCTGTCTTAAGACCTGCTCAGTTGAAGGCACCGCTGGCTGTGAGCAAGTTTGGCTGAGAATTCTAGTTCTAGAAACGCTCCACTGGCCTACCACTCGATTAGCTGAAAGCCCTGAGAACCTTCCACTGGCTCTGTGATTTCTTAACCTTGGAACTGTAGAGGTAGGGGCTCCTCCCCCTCGCTTTCCAGGTGTTCTTGGTCGAGACTTAGAGGACACTCTGAAGTTTGGTTATTCTGAGACTGAGAGAACACTCTGGATGTTAACTCCTGATTTTACTTTGATCTTGGGCCCTGCCATGGGTTCCAAATTTGGATAAAATGAATCATACAAAAAAAAAAATGTGATATTCCATAAAGGTGAACTATGAATCAGAAAAATAAAGTTCCCAGTCTATCTGTGGACTATTTTTATGGTTTAAAGTTTTATTTTGATGCTAAAAACTTCAATTAAATCTCCAATTCCATTTTTTAAAAAAATATTTATTTATTATGTATACAGTATTCTGTCAGCATGTTTGCCTACAGGCCAGAAGAGAGCACCACTTCTCATTACGGATGGTTGTGAGCCACCATGTGGTTGCTGGGAATTGAACTCAGGTCCTCTGGAAGAGCAGCCAGTGCCCTTAACCA